AGCTGTGTTCCTGAGGTGGGATCTCTGCACCTGCCACACAGGGAACTTTGGCCATGGCTGTACTCTCAGAGTAGGACAAGGCTCAGCCATTGTGGAAATAGCAGGACCCACCCTTAGACTACTTCCATCACTCTTTCCTGTTTAATTCTGCTTTTCACCAAATGACACCAAGCCAGATCTAACATCTCTGGATGGGTCTTTGAGTGGGGAGATGCCCCATTAGTGTCATGTAGAACAACATGGCCTTCCACAAACTAGCCTTTCATCTTGCATTTGTGCAGTCCCTAGTAAGGCTAAGCCAACTCTTAGACCTCTCAAGCAAACTTTTCCATCTTTACCTATCCTTGGGGACATAGTCAGACCCAGGTATGTACGGAGTAAGAAGTTCTTTCAGCTCTGCTTCCCAAAGGGGATACTGAAAGGCTGAGCTATATGGGGAGGTAGGTTTATGCCTCAGCTAGATTATTTCTCAGTCTCCAAGTTGCAATGGGTGCAGCATTTGATCCGCACCTTTGGAGCGAGATCCCTCCTCAGAAAATCCAAAGGGCTTACAAATTGGGAAGGTCAGGACCTGAGACAGGAGCTTTATTCCCTGCTCCATTATCTTTGGTTACTAAAGACATAGCCAACCCAATCTGCAGTGCATGAATCTGGCCACAGTTCAGGTTACTTCTCACTATACCCCCTAGGATCCTGCTAATCTGAGGGAGCTGTTCCTGCCTCTTTCTCCTAAGGGGTCTATTTCCCACACTCCAAGCAGGCGATGCATTCCTTCTCTCCACTGCACTTATTCATCCCTTTTCTCATCTCTCTGTGTGTCTTGCAGGGTGGAGTGGATGATGAGCTCTCACTGACAGCCTACATCACTGCTTCAGTCCTGGAGCTCCATCTGGATGAGAAAGTAGGTAGCTCTTGAACTGCCACAAGGTGTGAGGGAACCCACCATTTTGGCACCGCTCTGTAGGTACAGGGAGGAGTCAGTCCAAGTTTGTTCAAGTCCAGCCACCACATTTCTGCTTTGTGCATTTACCAGCATGGAGCAGGCAAAGGCCTGATGATTCTGAGTTACGGAGAAATCTTTTGGGCACCTTAAGTCAGTGTGAAGCTCAAGGACATGAATATCCTCCCAAAGCTGCTGGCTGTCACCAGGAAGCTGGTAGGACACATAACAGATTCCATTTTGGGCACCACACCTCAGCCCAGTCCTTCATTCCCATTGCTTTGCTTTAGCTACAGATGCCCCCAAATGGAAATGAATTATTTTGTTTGGCCTGAAATTAAACCATTCATTTGACTTAGAAATGAATGGGGGTTTTTCCCTTCCCCCATCGCCCTCCCTCCCATTTCAGCAAGCAAAGCTGAAGAAAACATTAATTTTGTTTTGATCAAGATCTGTTTTTTCCTTCCCCCATCTTGGACACCAAACCAAAATTCAGTGAGTTATAAGGCATGTCTACACAAGATGTGTCAATGCACATTAGCTTAATTTAATGTGCATTATGGGCATGTGTCTACACATACACACCCTTAATGTGCATTAAAATGGTGAAATTAGGCTACTTGCAAATGCAGGTATCAAATTTAGGTGTGATTAGTTAAAGTACTAAATTTAGTACTGAGTCTGCCCAGCCACTAGGGGCACATAGCAGGACTGCGGGGACGTGACACTAAATTTAGTGCCAAGAGCATTAACTTTAGTGCCAAATACACTAACTTTAGTGCTAAGTCCCTGCATGTGTAGACGCCTGTCAAAAATTGCTTAATGCGCATTAGCTTAATATGCATTAAATTTAGTCATGCTTATATGCATGTGTAGATGCGCCCACTGCGTCTTACCCAGCTACCCAGGGCAAGATGTTATATCTGACCCAGACTTCCTGGAATATATCCGGCTTAAATATGGTGGCTGTTTTGTCCTGTGTTACCAGAAATGTGGTTCAGGCCAGATTTGTGCATTCTGGCCTTCACTCATTTCAAAACCTAGGCCAGGAAACTGGAAAAAGATCCTTCTGGGATGTGTTCTCTGGTTGTGTCTCTGATTAGTAGGGATCAGGTATAGATGTCCAGGGACTATCCTAACTGCCTTCATTTTCCTTTCTCAGGCTGCCATGGTGGAAAAGGCATTGGGCCGCCTTAAGAAAGCATCACATGATGTGGACAGTGCCTACACCCAGGCTTTGATGGCTTATGTCTTTGCCCTGGCCAAGGACACAGAGATGAGGCAGCAGCTCCTGGAGAAGTTAGATGAAAAATTTCTCAAGCCTGGTACAGGTACATCTTTTGGTAGATACTTGATTCCAGGGGAACTGTCCTGGCCTGTGGTTAAAGCATGATTCCGGTGGGTTGGGAGTAGAGGCAGATGGGAATTTTAGGACAAAATGTTTTGGGTTGGAAAATTTGGGCTTATCCAAATCAAAACATTTTGTGAGATGTAGCTACCTTGCCAAGGCTTCTATTGGGAGAGGTTTCTCAGATACATAGTAGAACATCTTGTCAGAATCTGAGACTGACATGATGTCCCACTGTTTCAGCACGCATCTGAGATCTGGTTCAAGTCTTTACTTTGGTGATGCACACAGAGCAAAAAAAAAACAACCCAAATATGGCTGCACCATTATGATCTTTTCATTAAC